AGTCGACGACCATTTTTTTCAGAAAAATCCATCCCGGCAGTGCGTGCAGGAGGTAGCAATTTCCGCGGGTTTGGATACATGTATTGGATCGTTAAGTAAACGATGCGTCCGCTTATCAGGACGATAGAATATAGGTATAGTAGATCGGGGTCGTGCTCTTTTTCTCGTCATCGCTCCTTCTGGGTGCATCTCAATGGCCAAATGGTAGGGATCATTGGTTCGGGCGTGCGCGTGTAATGATACGCCGATTGATACACCAAATGGAAACACCTACCCGCGAAGATTGGGTCAAGCTTCGTGAGTTATTAATTCAAGGATCTGCGCTCTCTTGGCTCCTATTATTTACTGCACTCGCGGGTTGTCCCGCACTGGTGGAAGAATTTCTCTTTTCCCCCGCAACTGCAGCTCATTCTCTCCGACTGCAACGCGAAAGTGAGAAAAGCGCTCGTGTGCACGTACACGTGGTGCGATCATTTCAAGACGTATAAGGGTATATAAGAGTATAATAATTATAATTATATAGAATATCGCCGTCGAAAAGCAGGAGCGGGGCAGGAGGGGTTACACTGCTACAGCGGTCGTGGCTAAACATAATCAGGTTTTCATTACAAGGATTCTGGAGTACATTTACACTTGCAGTAAATTAAAAAATGTACAATTATTTTTGGTTTGACTTTAGTGCACAACAACAGAAGGATATTTTACATTTTTATCATGTATTCTCATTTTCTTAATTTAATTGATTCTACCTACACGAGCAAGACTCGTTCGTGCTGATAATGTTACACAATAAAAAATAAATGTGTTTATTACTATTTTTATCGTATATTATAACGTGTACGCCTTTTTGTGGAAAATACTGTAGGTACAGTGTAGAACTGATTCCTTTGTCAAGTTACTTCACATAAAATGTTTTTTACTAGTAACATAAAGATCACATTGTATATCAGTAAAACATGATCTGTGTAACTGATACTTTTTAGTACTAGTAGTTTGTTATTGTTATCTGGTATTGACTGATAATATTTTTTTTTACTAATAGTTAAATATATATCCGTACAAGGTTTTTCTATAGAAATATTGAGCAAAATAAGGGAACCGATGTCAGAATACTATCCACTCAAATTCGTACAATCACGCAAATATATTTTTTCTCATTTCCTACTCATAGTACTTGAGGTATGGGGACTCAACCTGAAGCAAACCCAACTCATTCACTCGAACACTCATTACCTTTATTTAAGTATATAATGTACTCGAGAAGAAAACGAACGACCACTCCACGGATTATTATCTTTCCGCACGCCTGCGCTTGCAATACAGTCATTCGGGCCGGGTGCGAATTCGCTGAGCCGAAATAGACAATATACCTCTCCCCTTGTCGTTGCGACACACATCTATATACCTATACGTCACTACATGGCGCTTGCAAACAACCGATCGATCGGCGATTTTCGCAACCGATCCAATTTTACAAGCGATCGGTATGTGTTTCGTACGCGCGATCTGATGGGGCACGTGGATAAGGATCTATTTTTTTTTGCAGTCGGCGATCGCTAGAAAAGCGCGCAACTCCCTGTTCGCGCAAGTGCGCTTTATGATACATACATACACGCGTGCCGTTTTCTCAGCTGCTCACGTCGGCTCGCATTAGACCGGACGCCGAGTTATTCACCGGATTTCGCAACCTCACAGATTCCGGCCGAAATGTCCGTGTGTAATTTGCCTTCCGTCATCCTCTCTCTTTTTTTTTTTTTTGTTCAAGCTCGATTTAATCTGAGCCTGTTAATGAGGTATTAGCTTCGACTGTACGCGATTCCTCCTTTGGCACAAAAAAAAAAAAAAAAAAAAAAAAAACTATGCACGCAAGATCCCGTCTGCTCCATTGTGCGCACTTGAACAATTTAAAAACGCGCCCAAACACACATGCCTCGCGCAGAGCGAAAGCTCGTCATTACACGATAATCTCCCGTTACGGATTTACGGCCAATAAATAACCGAGCGCGCGCGCGCGAATCACACTCGTTCATCTTCGATTGGCACGAACGGGTATTTTTTTTACGGCGATTATACGAGGCACGAGGTTCCGTTGGAGAGAGAGAGAGAGAGAGAGAGATTACATGGGTTCCGGGGCTGCAATAAATATCAAATGCGCGTTACATACCTGCGTAATTGTATACGATATGCACGCGTGCGTGCTGCCAGTTGAGAGCGGCACGGTTTTCGGTGTATGTGCATCCCGACGCGGGAGATCGCTATGTGAGAGCAGCTTAAGCTGTACTGAAGAAAATTTTGAGGTGTCAGATCACAAGTTTTTGAACAGTAAGACTTCAAGAAACTACGGTAAGGATATTGTTCAAAACATGCAGAGTAATTCCACAGGACTTGATCTTGAATACCTTCCTAAAGAATTGAAGTGTTATGCTTTAACACTGCGGGTGCCGCACTGTAAGTTTTGATGTTTTGGACTTTCGAGAAGCGTTGAACTGTTGCTTGACGCAAGCCATTGACCGCAAAAGTTGAAGTTTAGGTTGTGAGTCAGTGAGTGAGTTATTACACGTGAAAGTGTCATTAGTCATACGTCAAAAACTTGATTCCCACGTCTTCGAAGGACCTTTTCCACAAGGTAAGTATCTGGATGCTTTGTTTTCTGCAGCTCCTGCTCGTAGAAACTTCCAGAAATAGGTTGATCTTGGTAATCTTTGAGATGATACGTTATTGGATTTGTTGCTGCTACTCGCGTGATGGTAAATATTTCCGTTGACCAATTTGGCTTATATCCTTTTTCAAATGTTTGTTTGGTTTTGCTCACTCGTACTTTATCATCAATTTTGAATTTAGGCTAAGACTTACTGCTATTTTCACATTTTCTTTTCAACTTCTCCAAAATTTGAACTTCATTTTCAGCCAAAAAGTTTTACTTTAATATGGAATGGGTCGATGATGACAACGACGACAATGATGACGATTACAACAAAGATCTGTAAAAATGTATTGTATTTCAATAATTAATTTTTTTTAAAAATAATTTTGTAAATGTACATGTATTAAATTAAATAAAAAAACTCATTAATCAAAATAAAACAAAAATCTTAACAATTATTCTTCCACCACTCTGCATCCTACACTATCATGCAACGCACTCGCTTACACAAAAATGTATATATTCATTGCCTGCACAAGCTGCACAAGATTTCGCATATTCAAGCTAATCTCGAGAGGGCTCTATATATCATATTTGCAGCTTGGGTGTACTCTCCGCACGTCGGAATGCTCTATGCAAGATGGGAATCCCATGGGAAGAAAGCAAGATTTCGCAAACTCAAAAATATAATACGAGTATATGTATGCAACTACCACTTGCACACGCTGCACAAGATTCCGCAAAACTCAAGCAGCGCATGTGGCGGTCCATCAAGTAACAGCAGCAGTTCGGGGGGTACTCGGTCGGACCGCTCTCGAGCATACTTGCCGCAGCTCGGCCCTGGTTGCCGCATGTCAGGGGCAAAGGGGGGAAGTGAGCCACAACCGCCACTGTTTATCTACTTTCATCGTTTCATTGGTTTCATAACCAATTGAATGACATCATTCTCTACACATTAGTGGACGCTATATATCCAACCTATACTTTTTTACTTAAATATTTTTGAAAGATAAGTTTTTTAAAAAAGACACTGTGATATTCCAATTTATGCATGTGTTAAATGTACGTGAAGTAACTTTCTGCAAGTCCAACCAAATTAAACCCAAACGAAGTTTGAAAATCCGCTTTGTAAACCAAAAAAGCGAAACGCATTAGAAAAGAAGACCTTATTCCCACTGCAGCACCGGTAGCCCGTGAAACTCCTCAGCGAAATGAGCCGCTGCTAATCGGCACCTAAACAGAAGGGCCATCATCATCAGCCCCCCCCCCCCACGTACAGAAAGTTAAAAGAACGCGTGCATACAGGGCCCAATGATTTTCAAACGCTGACCCTACGTGCACCGTTGCTAGGCTGAATCCCTTTGTTTCGAACGACCCAACGATGATGAAGGTAAAGGTATATTGGGGCGGGGATCGAAAAAGCTTCGAATCTTTCGGTACCGTGAAAAATGAAGTAACTCGCCCTTTGGGCTTGAGTTTACTTCCTTTCACGCATCCGTGGACGTTCGAGTGCTCGTACGTATAAGTACCCCTTTGGACTCTGCCGAACTCAAATCTGAAATTATCGATGAAAGTAAAAAAAAAAAAAAAAAAAAAAAAAGAAAAGAAAATAAAACCTTTGTTATACCTGCTCCCCGAAACTAAGACAATCACGTAGCGGATAATACAAGCAGGTTCCCAAGCACAACAGATGCGCATTTCCAATATTGTACACTCGCACACGATTACCTATATACACACATATGTATACCTGGCCAAAAGTTTCCCGAGTCATCGCGAGGAGATCCCTCTGTTTTCTTTTTTTTTTCACTTTCCTCTTCGAAACCGTTCGCACGATCGGTGCAGATTACCGGAGCACATATATACACTCACACGGACGCTTTTGTACGTGGTGTATATAGTTTTGTAAAAATTACATTATTCCCGGCGCTCTAATGATCTTTTTTTTTTCCCTGCCGGCCGCTTTCTCGACTCCCATCCGTCCGAACGATTTATCATCTCTGACACTCCGATCGGCAGTGCTGACTTATTATTTTTTTTTTCTCCACTAATTTGGACTCGTTTAAAATTCATGACGCTTGCGGTCATTTACGGTTTGGGAAACGAAACGTTTGTTTCCCCGCGAGAATTACATTAAAATTGTTACAATCGCACGAGTACATACCTGTTTTGAATAATTACGATAGTTTGAAAAACGCGGAGTCGAGAAAAATCGATCGATCGCGAAAGTACGTCCTTTCGTTATAGCCATGTAGAAACATAATGCATGTATATGATATGTAAATAAGGGGTAAATCGTTACCCCGACAACACTTGTCCCTGACCGCAGTAACTCTCTACCACTGTGCAGTTCTAGGCCGGGCAGACCACCGAAGCGGGCCTCCGTCAGTTTGAGCCTCGCCGCTAGTCATTTGGCCGCCCAGGCCGGCCACCACGCGCACCAGCTAAAGAAGCACCGACTCGACAACGGCGATTACTACGAGAACGGACATCTCGGTGAGTACACCTAAGATTACTGTAAACATCATATTATCCAATATCACATATTGTAACCGTCATGTATACACTGTGATCCATACATACTCTATATATGACAAACTCACGAGTATCCATAGTATTTTCTTTCTTTTTCCATTGTCTTTTATTTAAGTACGATAAACGATACTCTTTTGAGTACCCATTTTGCAAAGGGTCTTCATCATATCATCGCGTGCATTACAAGCCATCAAGGATATTTTGCTCGAGCATCGGGGCGTATCGTTGCACATCCATGGATGTGGTACACAATGTATTCTCCTGTCGATTAGTTTGGTTAATGTTGTTTGGGATATAATTCGTGAAAACTCCGAAACGATTTCCATTCTCGTGTATCCATGATTAATGATTTTCATTATGATTTCTGAATTAGTCGAAAAGTCAAAAAAAGACCAAAAACGTATTAGAAAAAAATACGAATAAAATCTTAATCTTCAAAATCCGATCCTATAGTCACTCCAGCTCATCGAAAAGTTGCTTTCAATGGTAAAAAAAAAGGAGACGAAAATATAATTTGAAAAATCAACGCAATCGTCGGATCTATCCAAACAGAGATGTATATAGGTAGTACCAGCGCATCCGGGCGCTCCGTTGTCGAGTGAGCCGCAGTAGGGGGGTGCCCACACCCGCGCAAACAGCTTCTCGAGTTGCAATCACAGAACATTAAACGCGGGCGCGCTCGCGTCCCCCGCACGAATAGGTTCCGGTGCATATATATGCATGCCCACACCACAGTGTAAAACGATACAGCTCCCCCCCCCATATGTGTACGCCTCGCTGGCATGCACTGCATATACCTACTGCACTCTCGATTACCACCATATCCGCGGTATATACGCAGGTACACGCATAGAGGTACGGGGCGACGACGACGGCGCGCGGCTTGCCGGCAATCAATTAATTAGGGGAATCAAACGCACTTGGAGTGCGCAAATTACCTATACGCTGCAACTGCACTGCACTTCACTTCACGTATACGTATACACACATACATAGCGTGCGTCGTGCAATATGTATAATATAGCACTGCAGTTTGGGGGATTTATATACGCGCGCACGTGCAATGCGGGGTAAACATGTACACTGTTGTTGTTGTTGTTGTTGTTGTTGTTTGCTCGTCGAAATTCCTACGAGAATCCACGGTCAACACTCGCGAAGTGGCATGGGGCTCGGTTTGCGTGGGTGTAATATACCTATACGCCGATTAATCGCTCCGATGTACACCTACTATACTACTAGTACTCGTGTTTCGAATTGACCGAAAATTTATTATGTGCACACAATGATGATGATGATGATGATGACGAGTGAAAAGGGGTTGCTGGGAGTGTGTACACGAGTTTTTGTTTATTTGACCGCGGGAGTTTGGTGCGATTTCGATTGCTGTGGCCGCAGTGCGTTTGACGACTAAATTAAATGGAGTTTCGAGGGCGCCGTTAATTTACCTTTTCTTTTTCGGGGGTGGGTTGGGCACGAATGATGGATGCCATGATTTTTATTTTATTTTATTTTTTAGTTTTTTCGTTTGTTTGAGGACGATTGTGTTGATTTTTCTGACGATCGTGCGTCTGTGTAACGCACATATAATTGCGATATTGGTCAAATGGGCGCCTTTTTGCAAGTATCTCGATTGACGTTGTTCTCTGAAATTTGGTATGCGAGAGTGCGTTTCGTGATTTTTTTTCCTCTTCTTTTAAGTTTAAGTTATTAAAAAAAAAAAAGTATAAATCTGTTTCGTGTCAGTAGATGAGCTACATGTCGATACCAGCCCACATTATAATGGTCCACCTTGATTTTGGCTAGAGCTGTATATACTAGCCCGAAAGACTGCGGGTCGATCGTCTCATACGTTGATCGTCTTATTTCAACTGTTTTTTAATTTGTTGATGGTCTTGAAGCGGATCGATTTAATTTAACCAAAAATTAATGTATTTCATCAATGGTTGATGTTACCAAGACGAGTAAGCGAGCCGTCTTTTCTACTTTACCTAAGCAGGAGCAAGGTTTGAAGAGGCAAAGCTTACAACCAACTCCTAATGATCAATCAAAGCAACTTACCGGTATATTAGCAAACCTAAATTATCTGTTCCACAATGATGACTCGCAAACCCACCGTTTCCATATACGTATACACTGACCACTGAGCCTCGCAATAGCTATACAAAGTCAGCGCGCCCACAAGCCCCCGTGGTTCTGCGTGAAATTACACTGGACCTTCGTCACCCTTAAACTGACGCGAGCTATATTCCAACGCTTGTACCCACACGAGCGCACCTTACCATCGTGCCCGGCCGGGAAATCATAAGCGAGTAAATAATCCACCCACACACCCAACGTATATACATATATCAGCGAGCCAGCAATTCCACGACCGAATCGCTACTGCTCACATATATGGAGTTATATATATGCGAGAAAGGGGTCGAAACGGCGCGCAACCCGGCCGATTAATTATACCGAACTTACCCGGTAATTGTATAATTGTTTTACGATTGTTGTGTACGTACGAGCCGACTGGACTCTTGCCCCCCCCCCCCCCCGTTTGATATACTCGCACATTATGTATGTAGACCACGTACAATATATTATATACAAGGGCGAGTTCGAAGCTGCTGATTATTTTACTGATTTCATAGCGATTTTGAGCTCGCAACCATATAGCAACGAATTTTTTAACGTGAATTGATTCGAGTGAATGAAACCAAAAGGTCACTAGAGTACAAGCTCGTGTGGAGCGATCGAGGGGTCTCTGGAAAGACCAATGGCATATGTACACATGTATAGAGCCGGACGCCGCGGAGTTTGTAAATAAAGATTGCCCGATGGCTGATGAATCGATGACGATTACGCGGCTATTACGAGTATCGAAGGAGGGGAGGGGGGGCGCTTGAAAGAGCAAAGTACTGTAATCAGGGGTGGGAAGTCGATGGATACGGGAAATGGGAATCGAGGGTGGGTGTGCAGTATATGTGCAGGGAGGAGTGTGGGCGGGGGAAGAAGGGGGGAGAAAAAAAGCGTGTGCACGCGGCGATGGTCGCGAGAGATGAATTGGGCCGGAGTTGTAAGCGATAACTCTGGGAAAGCGTTTACCTATCGGTCCGATGTTGGTGTATATTGTGGATGTGTGTATGTGTACGGCTTCGTGTTTCGATGAGCGGGGAAAAAAACGATGGATAAAAAGGGAAGTGTACACGAGGTCGCACGTGTGGCCCATCGGGAGTTCTTATGGGCAGTCAGTGTGTGTATTGTATGTACAAACTTGGGCTCGGTTTTTCTCTTCCTACGCGTGTGGACACGTAGTACCTAATTCCTTTTTTTTTTTTTTTTTCTCTTTGATGATAAAAAGTAGATGCATCTGAGTGCATAACTTTGTTATTATCTGGCTTTCGTCCATTGATGGAAAATTTCGTCCAATTTCCGGCAAAAAGTTTTGACTATTACGGGATAATTTATCAGAACATGGTTCATTCAGAAGTTTTTCATGAACATTTTCTATACTTCTGTCAATTAATGAATAAAAACAACAAAATATTTGCGACGATATTTTTTATAGTATTTTCGCTGTAAGATATACATACTAAATAAACCATTCGTAAAGAAATAACTGTAATAATAAAATTAAAAAAAAAAATTAAAAATTACATTTGACGAAATATATATTTTAGTCAACCTTAATTTTTTTAGGCTCTGAAATGTCTATTTTAACTGATTAAGTATATTTTGCCATACGATCGTAACTTGAAAAATGGTATTAGTGTGATTAAACATTGGAAAGGAGCTTTAGTTCCGCAATGGAAGAACTTTAACTATCAAGATCTGACGACGGACACGCTTCCCACAGAGCCATTATGTGACACCTAATTTTTTATTATTTAATAGGAGATACTTAACGTAGGGATAGTAAACTAATAATTTTTTTATTCAAAGAATCAGGTCGCTTGGTGTACCCGTTTTTTTCATACCAACTTACAGGAAGAAATCTCTAAAAAGTAAAAAATTTGACCTCACCCCTACCTAATACTTCAAAATTTTCCTCTTAAACCTATGTAAGTTTTTACACTATGTTTATGATCTACGTACATGAAGAACCAAATTTCTTTGTTAACATTCTTATTGCGACAGATTTAGAGATTGACAGACCCTGATTGCCATCACGCAAAAACACAACAATGAAGAATTCAATGTTCATGCAGTTGTGATCAAACTAATTGTCAACAACTATGCTTCAAAGGCAACAATAATGGTCGTTTCACCGATTACACCACAGTAAATTTTTCCTAATTTTTTTTCCTCGACATCAAACTGCGCATCCACTATCTCCCCGGTGCAGTATATTTGCCACCAACATAACACCGACCGCGTCATCGCCGGCGTTATTTATTCTTTCTCATCGCTCTCAATTGCCCAAAAATACCACTCAGATGCGTATCGCGCGTCTCCCATTGTTCCGCGCACTCGCTACTATATATACCATACACGCAACTCCCGATTTTCGGAGCGCGTTTACAAAGGACGGGCCCGGCATTGTGCGCGTTATTGCTTTATTACACGCGCATCCGTACACACATCGCGATCGGATCGGCGACGCGAGTTATTAATTGCGCCGCGGGATGTTATTGAATGAAGACGAGTTGGCGAAAAACAACACTCCATACATCGTCTGTAATGATGTTTAGGGACTTTGAAGAAAATTAGCTCGTGTGCATGGGCGAGGCTCAAGAGTCAATGCGTGCTCGAAAATCTGAATCTACGACACCCATCATTTTTATGGCTGCACGGGGACGAATAAATTTCATGACTGCGCCGGACGCGTCCGTATATAGGAAGATTGTCGCCGTTGTCGGGCCGAGATCATCGTGCGGCCGTATACGCATTGTTCGCGGGGCCGGACAATGCATTCATCGGCGCGCGCCCACGTGAAATATGAAACTGGCTTTTGCGAAATAATTATGTCGGTGTTC